CTTGATTTTTTTCAAATATCTCCTTTCTTAACGAAATATTTATTTCCCAAACTGAACAAATATGAGCATATATTTTTTTTAAATTAAAACTAAACAATTCTCAAGACCTTCTATTATTTAAAATAAATACATAAATAAATAATCAAATTAAAATAAAATAATAAATAATAATTATTGCGTTTGGCCAAAAATTCACTTATTAAATAGAAAATTTAATTAATATACATAACGAATGTTCAGGTCAACCCAGTACACTAAAACTTTTTGGTCAACTCAGTACATTAAAAGAAATAATTAAATATACATAAACAAATAAGAAAATAAAAATTCACCAAAAACAACATTAGGCATTAAATGACATCACTTAGTGTCCACCATGATTTACCTTTACTTAGACAGTTTTAATATCTTAGAACATACTTAGATTTAAAATTTTGAAAAATTAAAATATAGCCCTCCACTTCTGTTTATAAATACATGTTGCAAAATAAAATCCTACCATTTTTACCTTGGTGAAGTCCCTCGTGGACGAAACGCATTGGTAAAGAAAAAAATTTCTTTTATCTTTATTCACACGCACACACACACTTACATATATATATATATATATATATATATATATATATATATATATATATATAGCATTTATTCAAAAATTATATATTATATCATCACTACAAAAATAGCCATTTTGTTTCAACACTTCTGGTATCTTTTCAAGTGATGCTGTTGATTGTAGAATAAAGAGTATAAAAAATAAAATCAACCAAACACCCCCTCACTGGTGGGGAAACATTATTACGTAAGCTACAATGACCAATCAAAATACAAGTACATGAGGATTCAAAAAACTTGACAAAGGACCTTGGATACAATTTATTATCGCCTTAATGCTAATAGTCGACTAAACTAGAAATCATTCTAATTAATTTTCAAATTTACTATTAAGTTAAAAAAAAATAAAAATTAGAAATTTTAAGTTTTGAATTAAACCTGCTTTAAGTTTAAAATATAAAATTATTCGAAGAAGAAGCTGGGTGGGGAATATACATATATTTTACTATTTATTTATTGTTTTAATCGAAAAGCCAAATTTTCAGTTACAGCAAATGCTAATCTAAGGAGATTCAAACATCGTAACAACTTAACATTTGAAGGGATCTGAATTCAGATGATGTGGGTAGGGAAAAAATTTTTTCAAATGACAAGACAGACACAATCACATCATAATACACAAACACGTAAATATATTTAGATATATAAACACGTATAAAACACGGACGACACAGGAAATAGAGAAATCAACATCAAAGAAAAAATATCAGACAGATAGACATACAATTAAAAGCATATACAAGCAATCACACACACATACACACTAATAAAGACATAGACAGTCCCACCAAGATTCAAGCCTAAAAGTATTAATAAGCGAGTACAAATCAACAATGAAAAATTTGCATACAAGGACAAAGATATATAGATAAAAAGAGAGTCTAATTAATGAAAGTTAAGAAGGGTATAATTGAAAAACAAATATTCTTCTATTAACAAAGCAAAGAAAAAAGACGATTAAACATATACATACAAATGAGCAAACACACACATATACGCATACACATATAAAAAATATAACAGCCAAATTCGCTCAAACAAAATAAAACACGGAAATTAAGAATCTGTGTATATACGAAAAAAAAAAACACACATTTACACACATATACAGTTGTTCCGACATCTACACCACATATATACCATCATATATATGGGTGCACGTGAATCCATACACGGACAAATATATAAATATATACATAAATAATATCTGGCCACTTGTATTCGAGGATAACCGTCTACTAGTGCGGCTAGCCAATCCCTATTGCAGACACTCGCTCAGGCACATTTGTGTTTGTTCAACACCCACAGAGCCCACCTATGGTTTATACTTCAATTATGCTGAGCAGACCTTAGTTACAGTTTCTGGGGGAGAGCTTGTTATCTAGCGTGATCAACAATCTGAACAAAACCAGCGCCGTCAAACCCTCGGTCACGATGACTTGTGACTTCGTGCTAGCACAGCTATCGACGGTTTTTTGAATCATCATATAGTTGTATTTTGATTGATCATTGTAGCTTACGTAATAATGTTTCCCCTATTGAGGGGCGTTTGGTTGATTTTGAACTTTCTAAAACTCTTTATTTTGAATTTTTTAAAACTCTTCATTCTACATTCAACACCATCACTTGAGAAGACACCAGAAGTGTTGAAACAAAATGTAGTGATGTTATAACGTGTTTATGCTATAATTTTGGAATAAATACTATTTGCTCTGCTCTGTATTGAGCACTCTTTTAAGAATAGTGTTTTTGGTTATTGAATTTTATTCTGTCTTCTATACCAATCCTATACTTGTCTGTGTATATATATATATATATATATATATATATATAAACGCGTCAGCTAACATAAGTCTTCCTTTTATCTTTATTCATATCGTCCTTTTTACAAATATACTCTATCTGAATTTTTTACACACACACACAAACATATATATATATAAGCAAATATATGGATATAGATCCGACAGTATGAAGAAAAATATATACGGAAAAAACAAACAAAAATCCTCATATGCAATATTAACATTAAAACAGCATATGAGGATTTTTGTTTGTTTTTCCATATTTTTTTATATATATATTATATATATATATATATATATATATATATATATATATATATATATATATATATATATATATATATATATATATATATATATATATATATATATATATATATATATCTCGTTCAAATCGGTTTGTACAATTTTCATAATGGGTAAAAGTCAAGGCTATTATTTACAAAAACAAGTAACGATTGACCCAGTGAGGATCGAACTCTCTACATTGTAATGATGGTCAACCAGACTAGATCTCTAACAATTACCCCAACCCAAGGCAGCCTTTATTTCCTAAGTTCAACACAAAAACACAAGTATGGGTCATCCGGAGAGGATCGTAGTCCCAACTCTATACATAGTAACAAATTAGATATATGCAAGTGGAGCAAGTTCGATATCCTTTTGCCAAAGTAAGCTTACTTCAAAGGAAATATTAACAGCTCATTGCCAGTGAGTTGGATCTTTACAGAATGCTCTATAACAGTGGCCTTGTGTCAGCCTAAGCTTGGCCCAGAGAGCCTGCCGTAGATAGATGCTCAGCATGATCGTCTTAGCAGATCATTGATAGTGGAGCGAGTTTAATTCTCTTTGAGCGCTCCACATTAATGACCTTATACCAGACTAGGCTCATCTTAAACCATATGACTGCTCAGATATTGAGGCCTTGTGTTAGATAAAAGCATTCTCGATTACTCTCCATAGAGTGATTATTAGCAAACTCGTCTACCAGGCAATTTCTAGTGTAGTATCTAAGGGCGCACTATTGTTATGTCCTTGTACCAGACTACACAAACCTTAGTAAATATTAGCTCAAAAAATAGCAGAGTAGTTGCAGCCACTTTGTGGTGAAATTAATTAGTACGGTTTTATTTATTAGTTTCTCGCCGTGAAAATGGGTGTGCCTTGTTTACGTTATACGTGTCATGTGTCATCTCCATATTTGGAGATAAGTGGGTGGAGACAACCGTGTGAAATGGGAGGGGCCAAGCAAAATAAGAAATTAATGAAGGAGGATAAGAGAAGCGTTGAAGAAAGAAAGAAAGAAAGAAAGAAAGAAAGAAAGAAAGAAAGAAAGAAAGAAAGAAAGAATGATGCGGAAAAGAAAAAGAAAGAGAAAAAGCAAGCGGAAAAGAAAAAGAAACAAACAAAAAACAAGAAAGAAAGAAAGAAAGAAAGAAAGAAAGAAAGAAAGAAAGAAAGAAAGAAAGAAAGAAAAGATTTAGTGTAAGAAATTAGATAAGGAAACAAAGAGCGAAAGAGAATTTGCTGCGATAAAAAAGAAAGAAAGAAACAAAAAGAAACAAAGAAACAAGAAGAAAGAAAGAAACAAAAAGTGCTGTAGTTTCGAATCCGGGAATGGAGGGTGGATTCTAAAATGCGAGTGAACGTCTGTAAAAACAAAAACTGGGAAGACGTTTTTTTTTTTTTGTTTTGTTTTAGAGAGAGAAAAAATAGATAGAAGGAAAGAGTGGTGAGCAATTTCTACGCTTAGCAACTCTCCCTTTCAGAACGGGAGAGTAAGGACATAAATTGCATCCATAATTAATAATAGCTAACCGCACTGTATCCTTGCCAATCTGTCTCATTACGTGTAAGTCCGTGTGTGAGAGTTCATTTGACGTTTCTTTCCGTCATTCTCTTATAATCTTTACCTTTCTTTCTAAGTACATCAACGCCCTTTTTTTCCTCCCTTACTTACTTTAATTTCTATATATATTTCTTTTTTCTTTATCTACTACAACTTTACTTTCTATCTTTCTTCTGAAGCCAGTATATAAACAAAGTATGGACGGCAGTATAAAAAAAAAGCCAGAATTTCTTCGGAAGGTATCATAATAAACTTAATACCGAACCCTTACACAACTGAAGTCGTCTCTATTTCGAGTTTAGCCATCCAGCACTATTAACCACTAAGCCCTCTACTACCACCAACAAAAACACCATTACTCCTACTACTACAAACAAGTTTAATTTAACAATAACATAACAACTGCTGAGTCTACGTAACCAGCGAGAAAAAAAAAACAGGTGAGATCAAATGTGTTTTAACCCGGAGGAAAATGCTTCGTTGTGGTGATAAAAATGTTGCAAAATTGATGAAACTTGCCGTTTGCTTTGTTACCGCTTACTTAAAAGAAATCTTTGGATTTGCTACAACTTTCGTATACCAAGGAACATTTTTGGGATTTTCAATGTGATTTTGTCTTTTTCTGTAACAGGAGAAAACAAGACACAATTAAGTTTTGTTGCGAAAACGGCGGACGATCACATTTAAAACAGAAGGCGGCTGAAAGGTAAGCAATTATAACTTTAAAAATTATGACTTTTTTTTCCTTTCATTCTCTTTGCGTAGATGTGCAGGTCTTTAGTAAATGATAGATATGAACAGTGGCCTGTAAAAGTGCAAAATGATGCAAAGTGGGCTGCAAAACATTTGAAAATCGTTCTTTACCTGCAGGGATATTTGCAGGGATACTTTCAGGGATATTTGCAGGAATACTTCATAAAAGTTTAAAGTGTTTCTCTTGCAGAAATATGACCTGATAAAGACATGAAATTCGCGTTCCGTTCTAACCCAAAATATTTACTAAATTTAACTTAGTCTGACACAAGGCTATATTTGATGGGCACCCAGTTAAGTTTGAACGCAGTTCACGACTAAATGTCTATTTCGTGGTATGTAAATATAAAAATAAGATTATGTTTCGTCAATCCTCCAAGTAGTCTTGTCTGAGTGTCTTGAAAATCAATGAAACTGAAATTCTGATTTTGTTTTGTTTTTACATTTACTTAACATTTAATATTCCAATATTATGGAATGAGGCTAACTACAAGTACTGGTAGTCTATGGCATCTGGGTAAACATTAGCCTACCAGATCTTTCAACTTTGCATCTAAACCTCCCCTATTTACATTTAATATTCAAATATTATGGAATGAGGCTAGCTACAAGTACTGATAGTCTATGGCACCTGGCTAGACATTAGCCTACCAGATCCCTCACTTTTGCATATAAACCTCCCTTATTTACATTTAATATTCGAGTATTAGGGAATGAGTCTAACTAGAAGTGCTGGTAGTCTATGGCATCTGGGTAAACATTAGCCTACCAGATTGATTGATTTGTATGTATTTTTATGGCTTATTACACATCCATTCACATAAGCTTGTTAGATCGCCTGTTTCCCTCTGTCGCTTCGGGAGGTAGACGATCATGGCTCTCCACAACTTCCTATTCTTTTGTAGTTCTTATTAAGCCTTTCATATGTTATGCATATGTAACAGTGTTCTGATATTCGGCTGTACTCATCCAAAATTTTTGCATTTTATATTTAATTTGTAAAAAGAAAAAAAAACTCCGAGAAATCGCTTCCTAAAATCGAACTCAACACTAAAGAAAAAGTTAATTTACAAATTCTTAGGTTTGCCTGTTTTAACCCCAACTCATGTTCTTAATTAATCATTATTAAGTCAATGATTTCACTGTTTAAAATAAATGTGGGGAATATCTAATCAAATGTAATCAATTTTACTCCAACATTCTTTTTTTTTTATTACGATAAACGTTATATTTAGTATATGACGTTTCGGTCGTTGTACGTCCGCCCTTCTTTAGGTGATATTTACTGGAATTTCGAACCGAACCCTTTATTTACCTCCACAGGGGGTAGATTCTTCTAATTCCACGTACCATGCATTTGGATATCTCATTTTTAGTTAATTCGCCTTGATTACTATCCAGGTTTTTGTTCTCTCCGCTGAGGTCAGGGATTGAACTCACAACTCTTTAGGTCAAGTCAATTTTCGGATCAATCAAGCACTGGGGACATTAGTGTGTGAAATTTTGGAACTTATAAACCTAATCCCTCAGTAATCATTTTTTTTTACCAGAGCTTATATTACAATTTCTTTTATGTTTCGTTTTTTCTTTCGGTCTTCTCATATTATAGTCAAGTCTATGTTTAGCTGCGTGAAGAGAGTTTATAACCTAGCGTGAATATGCGACATTGTTCGGACTATCATCCTCATCTTTGTTGCCATATTTATCACAACGTTTCAGCCGTTGTACACTCCTGCCTTCTTCAGGTGTTTGGAATGTCGAACTTCGCTGAGGTAGTTCTAGTTCCACGTGTCATGTGTAATGGATGTCAGTTATCTACTGTTAATTCCTCTCTGCAAGTTCTCCACCGCCTTAACCAGGTATTGAACTCACACTCTTTGAGTCCTGGATCTTACTAACGCATTTATCCAAAGTGCCATGTATACTGTGTATGAATTTCTGAGTATTATAAACCTAATGTCTTCACAACTATTTTTACCAGTGCTCATATTGAAATTTTTGCTGTTAGCATTTATATTTTTTACCCGAGCTCATATTGCAATTCTCTTTGTTATTATCGCTTTTCTCTGGCACTCCTTATTACTGGTTCCCATATTGTATTCATTTCTATGCTTGATCGGCCCATTAAAAATTTAAAACTCTTGTGTAGATTAATGACATCGTGAAAAGTAAAGTTCAAGAAAGTCAATCTGAAGCCTTTTTGTATACCAAGATAAATAAGTTGGTATTTGCTGTTTAGTAAACTTAGTTAAGCACAAGGATGCGAGCATAAAGCCCCCAATGAAGAACAAACTCACGACTAACGGACAACCAGGCTGCATCACCAACAACTGCTTCAAGACGAAAAAATAATAATTAATAAAATTAGCTTAGTTTATGGTGATTATCTAAACAAAAAGGAAACTTATACTTAACACCAGGAAGAGGCAGCTGAAATTTCTAGTGCACGTAATGAGGAAGGAGGGCTTGGAAAATCTGATACGCACAGGGCAAATTCAAAGTCAGTGGAAAGCAGCGGGTAACATTCTTGATGAGCTTGAGCAAATGGATGGTAGAACAGTGTTTGGGAGAAATAACAAAAGGACAAAATTTATTAAGAGCTAGAAGGGGCAGGAAGATGTGGAGGGCCATGATCGCCTACGTCCTAAAGGGACACGGAACATAAATGAAGAAGCTTACACGTGGTACAATGCCGAAAGTATTGGGCACTTACTATGAAAATATATTGTTGGTCATTTTACTATAAAGAGGTATTGTTGGTCATTTTGCTATAAAAATGTATTGTTGTTCATTTTACTATGAAAATATATTGTTGGTCATTTTACTATAAAAATGTATCGTTGGTCATTTTGCTATAAAAATGTATTGTTGGTCATTTTACTATACAAATGTATTGTTGGTCATTTTACTATAAAATGTATTGTTGGTCATTTTACTATAAAATGTATTGTTGGTCATTTTACTATAAAAATGTATTGTTGGTCATTTTGCTATAAAAATGTATTGTTGGTCATTTTACTATAAAATGTATTGTTGGTCATTTTGCTATAAAGATGTATTGTTGGTCATTTTACTATAAAAATGTATTGTTGGTCATTTTACTATAAATAGGTATTGTTGGTCATTTTACTATAAAATGTATTGTTGGTCATTTTGCTATAAAAATGTATTGTTGGTCATTTTACTATAAAAATGTATTGTTGTTCATTTTACTATAAAAATGTATTGTTGGTCATTTTACTATAAATAGGTATTGTTGGTCATTTTACTATAAAAATGTATTGTTGGTCATTTTACTATAAAATGTATTGTTGGTCATTTTGCTATAAAAATGTATTGTTGGTCATTTTACTATAAAAATGTATTGTTGGTCATTTTACTATAAATAGGTATTGTTGGTCATTTTACTATAAAAATATATTGTTGGTCATTTTACTATAAAAATGTATTGTTGATCATTTTACTATAAAAATGTATTGTTGGTAATTTTGCTATAAATATGTATTGTTGCCCATTTTACTATAAAAATGTATTGTTGCCCATTTTACTATAAAAATGTATTGTTGGTCATTTTACATTGCTTTCTAAGTTGCGTATCGAAGTTGGAACGTTTTTATGTTGACGTAAATGTGTCCTTATGAATTAATCAAAAGCGTCTGGGACCAACAATCATTTGGGCTCTTTTTATATTCACTAAGACAAAATATAAGTTACTCTAATACAGAAATATTCCCCCCTTCATTGACCGTGCAGCCAGTACGACTCTAGATACACCTTTCTTCCCTCCTTGAACATCGGGCTGGGATCAAAGTATCTGTTCTCAACATCTTTAATGTTTTTTTTTTTGTTTTTGTAAAGGGTTGATAAACCGTAAAAAAAGAATCAATAAATAAAATACTGATTAGCTACACAGTCATGTCTGTCAGATTCTTTGGAATATAAATGTATAGAAACTACCTTAGGCACAAAGTGAGGGATCAGTTTATATATTGATTGTAATATAAAATTGATCCTCCACTTTATATCCAGATTATAATTTCTTATTTGTTTATCAAATTCTGATTAGATATGAATTTAACACTTCTCCCCCAAGCTATGGGTTAATTATAAGACTTGTATAAATAAATTATTAGCTAAAGCAAAAATTCTTTAAAAATCTAGCTTAATAAAAAATTATCCAAATGTTGAACAATTTTTCACATTATTTTCACCCGAAATTAAAGCAAATATACGGAATTTAGTTCATGATCAAACATAATAGACATTAATGATCTGTTATATTTAACAATATATGTTTAAATAATGATCTGCTACCCCAATACTCTATATGTGTGTGTGTGTGTGTGTGTGTGTGTGTGTGTGTGTGTGTGTGTGTGTGTGTGTGTGTGTGTGTGTGTGTGTTTTCCGACGTGCGGTGGCCGTTAATAATTAAGTATAACTCAAGAGTTCAATGTTAAGATCAAACAGTATTTAATTACAACCACAAATAAATACTTAACAAGAACAAAGAAATAAAAGTCGACGAAAGATAATTAACCATTTCAGTAAATACTTTGTTGGTAGCGAAAGCTCGGCTTAACGTCCGGTAAATCATAAATCAAACCCCAAATCAGCGACGCCCAATAATTCACACTAATTCGACTGGATATTTCCACTCAATAGTCACTCAATAATCACTGCAGTCAGTAGCCTGACACCGCTATTTATACAGCTGGCGGAAAACATATATTCATAAGTCCAGAGTGTTTCGTTCGAACCTCAGTGTCGATAGTTACTCATTTTCATCCTATATGACATATTGATACATGTTTAAATCCAATCTAAGCTTTCGGCTTACATAAGCCATTATCAAAGATGACAATTACATTTCAATATATCAACTAATACACGGACGAAACAATAATGATAGTCTGTTTTTGTTGCATGAAAAATTTCAAAGCAACGACTAATTTGTGTATACGAGACGCGGAAGGGAAAATCGCATCGCAGCTCGTGACGTCACACGTGACCACGCGAGACCTATCCTCTTGTCACATCCACCAGTCCTCTTGTCACATTTCCCTATCCTTGTGTCACATACTCTAGCTTCTTGTCACATCCCCCTATCCTCTTGTCACATTCTCCTATCCTCTTGTCACATCTTCTCATCCACTTGTCACATCCACTCATCCTCTTGTCACATCCTCCTATCCTCTTGTCACATCCTCTTGTTACATCCTCTCATCAACTTGTCACATCACCTATCCTCTTGCCACATTCCCCTATCCTCTTGTCACATCCCCCATCCTCTTGTCACATTCCCCTATCCTCTTGTCACATCCTCTCCTCATCTTGTCACATCCCCTATCCTCTTGCCACATCCCCTTATCCTCTTGTCCCATCCTCTCATCCTCTTGTCACATCTCTCTATCCCCGTGTCACATCTTCCTATCCTCTTGTCACATCCTCCTATCCTCTTGTCACATCCTCTTGTCACATCCTCTCATCAACTTGTCACATCACCTATCCTCTTGCCACATTCCCCTATCCTCTTGTCACATCCCCCATCCTCTTGTCACATCCTCTATCCTCTTGTCACATTCTCTATCGTCTTGTCACATTCCCCTATCCTCTTGTCACATCCCCTATCCTCTTGCCACATCCTCTTATCCTCTTGTCACATCCTCTCATCCTCTTGTCACATCTCTCTATCCTCGTGTCACATCCTCTCCTCATCTTGTCACATCCCCCTATCCTCTTGTCACATCCTCCTATCCTCTTTTCATTTAAGGATGAAAATTGGTTGAAGGGAAAGTTCAGTTGTACTGAATTCACTAAATCTTACTAAGTTTAATTTGTGTTCAAATCCTACAGATGCCGTCCTCATAAGTATTTTATAGGTTCTGGTTAATATTTTTAAACCGAACTTTCTTCCATCAGGTTCCAATCTGGTCAGCTAATCTTCCATATTTTTCCACTTAGTATTTTGACTCCTTTACTTAGAATTCTTAACTCTCTCAATTCCTCAAGTCACTAAATGGCATTTCATGCATTGTTTTGGCACAATCAGCGCCCCTGGAAATTAATGACAAACCATTTTAGTATTTGTTTCCTCTACCGGCCTATGCATACGAAACAAGAAAATGTGCCCTGCGACAGGATTCGAGAATTTGTCCCCTTTGCAGGTGAAATCACTGTTTGAAATAATAAAAATATGTCGAACTAGATTTAAAGCCACCTTATCGAGCGGCATTTAAGTTAACTCTTGCTGAGGGCTCTTGATTGGGCCTTCGGCTTGTTCAGGTGTTTGAGAGTCCTTAAGTCTTTGCTCATTCTCAGCATTAGAAGTTCTCCTGGCTGCCGTTTGATCGGGATTTTCATTTGCACTGGACTTTCTTTTCCTCACTGCAGCCTTGGTTCTTTTGATTGCAATCTGGTCCTCAGTTGGCGGGGATTTCTTTTTACAAGGCAGACTGCTGCCGTATTCAATAGGCAACAATAAACTACAGAAGAACTCAAAATTGATCACTGCATTTAAGTATTGCATTAATATTTAAGCTTACTTTTTAAAAGTTCAACGATAATTCTTCTGCTGCCACTTAATTTAAAGACAATTTGATGTACGTAGGTCCTTACTGTGCATACAAACAATTATTTTTTTAATTTAATGAGTGACTTTCGCTGGATTTCGCAATTAATTCCGATTATTCCCAAATGTATTTCAAAGTTATAAAAAATGTTATCATATAAAAAAATTCGTCGCATCAAATCACGTAAGAAATTGCCGAAAACAATCGCAGTAATGAAAACTTGGCATTCCAAAATTTCTGTAACATGAGCTATTGAAAGTTAGAGAGTTGTGTCCCTTTAATTGAAAAAGTGTGACACATTGACATTCGAATTTATTATATAGATTAAAGAATAGTTGGTTGATTTTGTTTGGGTTATTTAATACCGAAATCTAAATATTTTTAAAACAATTATATGGCTAGAATTAAATATATACTATAAATAGGTATTGATGATAATGTTACTATAAATAGTTATTGTTGATAATATTTTATATAAAAATGTATTTTAATACTTTCATAGTGGATTCACTATTCGCCAATAGCTGGGACCCTAAAAGGTGCTACCACCCCGAATTAAAGAATAAAATCCATTAATTTATATATATATATATATATATATATATATATATATATATATATAATTAATACACATAAAATTTGTCACTTAGCTGATTGATATTACCTTTAGTATCACGAATCTTCAGTTTCGTAGAACGACTCTCCACTCTCCAGCAATCGCTCCGCCCACTCGTCAGGGGTATCAGCAATTGACGGTTTATTTTCACGTTTTTCTTTTATATTGCGTTGAAAAATGATTTATGCACATTTCATTGGTGCAAGGTTGTTGGCTTTTTTTTTCTTTTTTTTTTTCTTTCTTCTTTCATTGATATACCGGGTGTAACAGCAAAATTGTCCAAATCGTGTAACAGCAAAATTGTCTAATTATTAAATTAAGCTTTGAGTGGTTGTATCATATAAATGTTTAAAGTTATCTTACTGGAATTCTCCGAAGCTTTTATAAAACTATTGGACACTACTTTGAACAATAAGAATGTATTTAGTTCTAAATTAAAATGATGATCCCTCTTGCTGTTGCGATCCTCCTGATCTAGTTTGCCTCGCTACTGTTCCCTCTTTTTAAAACTTATTCACCTTTTTTCTATTTTGTTTTTTTTTTTGGTGGTTCTTAAATGGACTTTGAAGATGGAATCCAAAGTATCATTACTGAAGGCATGAATGATCTTTTTCCTCTCACCATTGCTCAGTTAGGAAAACATAGTGGGGATGACACAAAATGATTTTAACCTGTTCTCTTTCTAGCTGAATAACTCAAAGGTTTTTTTCTGTGATTCTTACGACAAATGGCGTCAAGATGGCTAAACTTCTTATTTGAAAACCTGAAAAAAGAAACTCAATTTGTTTAGTGTTTTTTTTTTTTAGATATTAAACATTTTGTGGGATTGACGATTATCCGATGCTGTTACACAATTTGGACAAATTTGTTGTTACACCGTGTATTGCACTGTAGAATTATGGCTACATTACTGTTGCATCATAGCTTGTTAAAATCTGTTTTTTAGAAGTAGTCATCATCCTTAAAAAGAAAGGCAGGGAGGATGTATATAGGGTGAGTTATAAACCCTTTGCAGCACATTCCTGAAGTGTCTGGTGATTCTATATTGCAAATACTAATTAATTGGAGCATCTCCTACATGTGTTAAAATCTCACACTCAGCACTCATATACAGCAAAATGTAACAGCAAAATGTAACAGCAAAATTGTCCAAATCATGTAACAGCAAAATTGTTGAAATCATGTAACAGCAAAATTGTTGAAATCATGTAACAGCAAAATTTGAAAAAAGAAACTCAGTTAGTTTAGTGGTTTCTTAGATATTAAACATTTTGTTGGATGACCAATTATCCCACTCTGTTACACCCGATATATATATATATATATATATATATATATATATATATATATATATATATATATATATATATTTTATTTTATAAAAATTATAACATAAGTATGTTATAAGATCACTACAAAATAGCCATTTTGTTTCAACACATTCTGTGTCTTCTCAAGATGATGTTGAAAATAAAATAAATGGTTTTTTCAAGTTTCATCATTTCTGATTCTGAATAATCTGAAACTTTTAAAAAATTTTATTTTTTCAACATCATCACTAAAACATAAACATTTATAATTTTTTATAAAAATAAAATTATATCTGCTCTACTTTGTATTGAGCACTCTTTTAAGAATAGTAATTGTTGGTTATTGGAATTCATTCCGTATATACCAATTATATACTTTTATATATATATATATATATATATATATATATATATATATATATATATATATATATATATTGAATATGTCGAAAATCGGTTGTGCGTCTTTGATGCAACTAAAGAAAAAAATCAGATGAAGTAAGACATTGAGAAAGAGACTGTGATGGTTGCATTCGCAGTCACCGAATGTGTCGATTCTTCACCTCTTGGACAATTTTTTTTTTAAAACATCGCATCAAAATGGCATACCAGTTCCCTTTCCCATTCTGTTACCATTCAAATTTGACTCAATATGTAACATTTTCCAAGAACTAAAATAATCATTGAAACGTTGTGGTCAAGATTAAGAAGAATAAAACGAAGAAGCTGATGGTGCTCCCTAAAAAGGAATTCTTGAAAAGTGGAAGAAATCCTGAGATGTTCCTAAGGTCCTATGAGAAGTATTTTGAATGTCTAAATCGATCTTTATCTATCTATCTGCGTTTGACCGGCCTAAAAACCGTCCTGGATTTGACGATAAACTCCATCCGCGTCCTGGGTAAGACGATAAACTACGTCCAACAGCAAGGCCTCTGATCAGGAAGTTTTGTTAGGTGTGGAACCACCTCTTAATTGCTGGTGTTCCCAGGTTCACCCTGACCTGAGGTGGTAGCACCTGTTAGGGTCCTAGCTATGGGCAAATAGTTAACCCCAAAACTGGGATCAAAACAGTATGAAAGTGTAAAAATAAGTATTAATACCAGTAATACTTTGTAAAAAATAAAGTTATTACCAGCAATACATTTCGGAAAAAAAAAGATATTACCAGAAATAGATTTTTTGAACTAAAAATATTACCAGAAATACACATTTTTGAAAAAAAAAATATTACCATCAATATAAAATATTACCAGCAATAAAAATATTGTCGGCATTAAATAACCAATTAAGGATGATATGCCGTAAAACAAAACGAAACGAAACTGGACTAAAACGAAAATCATAGAAGAGATGAGAAACTCTTTCTAAAAACATCAACAAGAAGAAAATTTGAAAGAAAATGGCAACAGAAAGAAGAGTTCTACTCAGACACAGGAAAAAAGATCTGTAAGGAAGAAAGGGCTTGGAAAACATAAGCCTCACAGGGTCTATTGAAAGCAAAAGAGATTGGGGAAGGCAGCGAGCCACTTACCTGATGAGCTTGTGTGAATGCGTAACGGAACAGGGGGTGCGGGGGGGAGCAAGAAAAAAACTGCTAAGAGCCACAAAGCATAGGAAGTTGGGGGGGCCATGATCACTTATGTGCTGAAGGGACGCAGCACATAGAAGAAAAAAAATATCCTATGGAATCGACAACAGAGAGCCGCAAAGTTGATTACGTGGAAATATGTCGACATAAAGTTTCCAGACATCTGCTGCTGGATCAAGGAACATAATTCCTGTAACTAAGGCGAGGGGATTACGTTAAAACGGGCTGAGATTGATGGGTAAATACGAATAGATAGATAGATAGATAGATAGATAGATAAAGAGTTAGTTATAAAGTTAGGATAGATAGATAGATAGATAGATAGATAGATAGATAGATAGATAGATAAAGAGTTAGTTATAAAGTTAGGATAGATAGATAGATAGATAGATAGATAGATAAAGAGTTAGTTATAAAGTTAGGATAGATAGATAGATAGATAAAGAGTTAGTTATAAAGTTAGGATAGATAGATGGATAAATAGTTAGTTATAAAGATAAATAGATAGTTATATAGATTAGGATAGATAGATGGATAAAGGTTAGTTATAAAGTTAGGATAGATAGATAGATGAATGAATGAATGATAATGAATAGATAGATAAAAGATTAGTTATAAAGTTAGGATAGATAGATAGATAGATAGAAGTTAAAAGTTAGGATAGGATTATAATGAAAAAGATAGAT